TCTCTACTGCGTAACAAAAGAGTAGCGATATCGACTTAAATCAGTCCCCAGCAACGGCGCCAAAAACTTGATTGTGGGACTTGTACTTATGTATCCAATGATTCAGACTGCAAGTGCACAGTCTTATCGTGTAGTTTTAAAAGATATCGAACCACAGAGACTGATGAATCGATCTATCGTCTTCTATTGTTACTTCTCAAATCTAAAGCTAATGAATATTTGATTGGGTTGTAGGGAAAAATAAATACTAAATTAATTTGGATTTTAATAATCAATGAGCTTAATTACCAGTATGCAACAGTCGTACCTCGGGAACTAGCGACCTGTTGGGCGTCTTTATATTTTCAAAACAGCTTTCAGTAAAACTTATTTAGTTTAAAAACCCTCGTCTCACACTGTCGTTTTGTTGATCTAGGCTATGCAGTTAAGTCCTAACGTACGTTTCCGCCATCCCGCAGGAGTTAAAAACACTTTTTGAAAACTAAACAAAATCTTAATTAACTTTAAAGTGCTTCCGCTGTATTTTAGGCCAATGCCTAATTACTACTGTCCAGTTAAAAGATCTCAAACTTCCACTTTGTTGACCCTAACCTCTATCTGTTTTTTACTTCCATAACAAAACAATTTAATGATTGAAAAATAGTAACTTAGGCCAGAAAAGAAAGTTTCGTAGTAAAAATAATCCCGACTAAGTTACTCGTTCCCTCGGTTGAGTGACTTTACATACCGGTATAGGATTTCTAGCCTGACATAATATTAAACCAAATCGCAGAATAATTTAAAGGACAAACACAAATAAACATAATTATATCAATTAAAAAGCAATAAGAATTTGTAAACATAAACCAGGTAATAACTCTGAAGACAGAAGCACTCCTGCACAAATTGTAGGCTTTGCTTCGATCGGAGGATATGTTTAACCGTACAGAAGAAAATAATACTGGAAAGGAATATATAAATAGCTGGGAAATATAAATAATACTGAAAAGAATATTCGCTCAATAAAATATCTAAAGTTTCTTGCCAAAAAGAAGAACCCTTTCTACTGTGGTCTAAGGCTCTATTTATAAGTCTTGCGTGATCAGTTGCTCTCGAAAATGTAGGAACATTTTACTTCCTTCTTTGAGAAATAATAGGGCCATTAATCTGTCACGTTCCTTGGTACTTTGACTGAGTGGGTGAGAAAATGTAGGTAGTCGCTGGATTAACCCTTGAACGCGTTTCTGTCCGTTGGATGAGAAGAAAGTGGAGTAAGTGGCTTGTGATGTTTGTCACATTCAAGTGACGATAGTCACATTCAAGTGACGATAGTCACTTGGTCTTCTTGGCGCGTGACGTTCGGCACGCGTCCTTGACGGTCGTCAAGGCCTTCTTCATTGTGGGCCACGTGCTCACATGTATAATGGGCTTTGGGCTCATTTCTTCTCCTTTGGCCTTTTTGCTAGTTTTGCACCTCTTTTTTCCTCATTTCTTCCAAAGTGTTCAGCTTAATGAATATCTGCAAAAATAGAAAAATACCTGCATAATACTTATAAAATGATTTAATTTAAACTAAAGTATGAGAAATATTTGGTGTATATCAAGCCAGAAATATCACATATTTGTGTGTCATCAGCATGCAAGAACCTTGCCCATCACGTCTTTCTTGGTTAAGTCACAGAATAACTCATCGAACTTCATTTTAAAAACTCTAGAAATAATGTCTGGATGGTCGGCTGATTTCAAATTCATCTTTCCAAGATAACGCTGAATCTCAGGCCAGTTGGGATTACATGTAAATGTAATAAATATATTTGGAAAGACAATATAACTGCATGTTGCCATTTCGTCGAAATATAGTTGATCCATATATCTACAACTACCAACATATGCAGAAGGCAAGGTGACCATCTTCCTGGTGTTTGAACCTTCGATCTGATAGTATGAGTTCAATTCACTCAAATTGTGGTACTTTCCAACCCTTAGTTTTGATTGATTTTTTCCGAGTCACCTAAGTCTCTCCAATTCCACCATGGTAAAACCATCTACTAAAAATGTTGGAAAAGCCTTTGGGATTTCAACAATGTCGGTGGTTTGTTATGTGTGGTTTGGATTCGAAATGCCATCCATTCTATGATTGTAAGTTTGTTTGTTTTAGTAGCTTCTTCCCATGGAGTATCATCAAACTGCAAATCAGAATTTGTGGTTTTTAGGTTGTCGCGTAATACTGAACTCTTATCTTGATGCTTCACGTTTGGCCTATAGCCATTTTTACCATATGGAAAAGTAGTGGATATTGATATCCTAAATAAGAGGTATGATACTCATCTATTTTTTGAAGATCAACTGTCTGTTTGTGCATGATGATATCCCTTTTTTCCGCGGTATCAACATTCCTGACAATTAAAGCAGCAAGTTCAGATACATTCGGTTGATTATGTATCTTTCCATCACATTTTCGGTCTGAAATAAGTTTCAGTTTTAAATCATAGGCATTATTGTGGGCCATAATATCCCTCGCCATTCGAAATGATTGAGCATGAACGTTGTGTTCATACAACATTTGAGACAATTTTGAAACAATATGAACGTCTACCCTGATCTTTGACCAACAGTTGAATAAAACAACCAAATTGTTAAAAAAAATGATGTTGTTTACAATATATTTAAATGAAATCAAACATATTATTGTAGTTGTTTCCAATGATAAATGCATAAATATAGCTTTCTGTTACGATATACCTTATTCTGTTAATTCTATTTTGGACTTTGTTCTTTGTATCATAAACATAGAGTTGTGCAAATTTAGGATTTTGACCTGGCATTGCCAACATGCTGCCTATTATGTGGTAGGACTGACCTTGAATACGAAAAGTTAGAGGACCTCTACCATTATTAAAACGGTTATCCATTTTTGCACCAGGAGATGTAAACCCAAATATCATGTTGTACTTATAATGTTTTGTTGAAAATACCTTGACTCCACTGTTACACATCCAAATAAAAGATCTTGTAATACCTTTGGTGGCATCTTTAGAAAAGGAAGTTGAATCTTTCCATTTCCACAACACAATGAAAATTCAGGAATTATTCTATTATGATTCTTTTCTCTTCCTTCAAGATACTGAAGAAATTGAAGAGAAAATTGGGAGTGGACTTTAAGCTTGCTTTCTTAATAAAATTGTTCAACTACTTTTAATATGAGTACAAAGTGATTTATGTAGGATCACAAGATAGAATTTTAAAAGTTACAACGTTAACTATTTCTAGTTCCCTAAAGGAATAAACTTTCCACTGCCCAAAGGGAATCTGTCTTTTGCACTACCCAAGACATATTTGAATTTAACCAACAAAACTCCCGCATAAATTCAAATATTCCTTCGATCCATCATGTTGTTACCTTGGAAAATCTTAAGGTATTCAAGTACGTGTAGTAAATGAAGATATTCTCATAAGCTAAGAGTCATCCTCCAAATTAAGGGTTTTCTGGGAAACGGGAGCCAGTGTTCGAAAAGTTGGTTTTATTAAGTTAGAGTTAATGCTTAAAAGGAGTCACACTGAAACTGTCGAAACTGAACTACGTCGACTAGAAAGAAATAAAAGAACATATGTCAAGAGGTCAAAATTGGTTTAGTCGACCAAAGGGTGAAAGACAAGGATTTGGTCGAAAATGGTTTTAGTCGACAAAAAAAGGTTTCTTGAACTTAGAGGAAGTATGGTTATTCTTTGCCAAAAAGAAAATATCAAAGCAAGGCAGAAGTGGTTTATGTTCAAGAGGTTTAGAGGAATCATGAGAGGTTACCAGCAATCCACGATGTATTTAAGCCCCAAATAGGTGGAACTTCAAAATCATGAGCAGTTACCAGCAATCCACGATGTGTTTGAACGCCAAATAGGTGGCAACATCTAGTGAAGCAGTTACCTCAAGATGTTAATATTAGCTGTAGATTTTATCTAGATAGTTACATTGTAAACACTATAAATAAACAAATTTAGTATAGTTTGTGGTGTGTTCACTTGTACTCTCAAATCACTTATCAAACTATATCATTCCGAGCGTTAGGAAATCAAGAGTGAAGAGTGTTTGATGTACGTGAATCACCATTTTTATTTCAATGGAAATCCTTTATCTTTCAATTATATCTTTTGAGTACTTTATCTGCTTTCTATTTACTATCGAGCAAGATCTATACGTTATCTTCTATTTCACATAAACAATTCAACACTATCTGTTGGTCATAAGTCACCAGTCAGTTAGTTTAGTAAGTCTCGCTTTCGTATGAATATCTTCTGTCGGTCACCAGTCAGTCGATCAAATCATAGTGTGGAAAACTATTACACCTGTTCCCCCAGTCAAAAGAAAACCATCTTCCTTGACTAATATTTCGACGGAATAAGTGTGATAATAAAGCTCTTAGCACGTGTCTTGAGATCAACTGGTCGATCTCGCAAGTTACCCTCAGTTTAGGACTCTGGGAGGACCAACGGTTGTTTACCATTTTCCACAGTAAACAAATTGGCACACCCGGTGGAACCCAATGCTAAGAATTTGTCTTAAGTATTTTTAAGTGGATGCAACTTAGAAATGGAAATTTAACCAAAGAGTATAATAAACCATTATCTAGGAAGCAGATATCAAAAATGACAATTCTTGATAATCCAAACGTAGACGAAATACCGTCACGAACTTTAATTACTACCGATCCAGTAGTTTCTCAAATAGCACATTTTCCTCCAGTAGGATCGACTGCTGCAGTTTCCGAAAGGTATTTTGAGATTTTCAAAAATATTTTTTATCCATATAAAGGTGTACTAATCCCAAAACTAAGAAGAATAATGGGCTTTAAAAACAAAGGCCCAATTATTTATATAGAGCAACAAAACCCCTTCCACAAAAAACGAGTTTGCAAGCAACGAACAACGAGGAGGAGTAAGGTTGAGAATTGAGTGTCCTGAAAATTCCAATATCTTCAACTCTATCTGCAACTCCAAAACCTTCTCTTCGTCGATCATCACAAAAAATGACGACGAAATTTCAAATATTCACCGGTTTACCCTCTGCACCACTCCAACCTTCTTCCTCTTCCATTCTCAAAAAGCCTCTCGCCAGTTCCTTCTTCGGCACCAGACCAGGTTTTCTCACTTTCCTTTCCGCTACCCATAATCGTTACTTTTTCAATGAATTCAATTAATCTCAACAATTACCGCGTGATTAGTTTAACTACTTTTAATTTCTAATTATTAATTCTCGCAGTGGACACTTTGAAATTTAGAGGCGTGAGGACTGCGAAACCGGTGCGAGGCGGAGGAGCGATCGGTGCCGGAATGAACCTATTTGATAGGTTTGCGAGAGTCGTGAAGGTGAAAGAAATCACTCTATAAGAAGCTGTTTTTTTGAAATTTTCGGTTTAGGTTTAATTTTTCTCATTTGTCATCTTAGTAATGCAGTCTTATGCAAATGCTATCGTGAGTTCGTTTGAAGATCCCGAGAAAATTTTGGAGCAAGCTGTGCTTGAAATGAATGATGATTTGACTAAAATGCGTCAAGCTACAGCACAGGTTAGTTCCCTTTTTTCAATCATTTTATTTTGGACTTTGTTCATACACAATTTTGGGTATCTGGTTAAAATCTATTTTATTAAACTCGGCCGTTAAAGTTACGACTGTTATCTCGGCACGGAACTGCAAAACCAAGAAAACGGTGTCAGGCCGTGCCGTTCTGTCACATATGGGTGACTCTTGGAACAACAACGATGACGAGATTGAATTGTGAACGTCGCCTTTCTGACGTGGCCGCTCCGGCCGTGACTGTTGTATCTGATATTACCATTTGGAAGCATGCTTTGCTTAAGATTTATGGTTTTATTTCTAACTACAAATACTTAATGAATTTTGATTAGTTTATTTTAGTTTTTAACAACTATGTGTCCATTAGTATTAATTAATTGAATTAGTGTCCGCGTCACTAAAGTATCTATCGTTCCGCTCCACACTCCCATCCGTTTCCTTTTTGGGATGGCCGCGCCGCTATTTGAGATTGATAACATAGCTTAAAATACATACATTGTTGCATTTATTATTATTTGTTCTATTTTCCGGTCACATCAGCTGTTTTAAATGATGTATTAGTATTCAATATTGGATATATGTTAATTTTTAGATGTTCAAATAAGATCACTCTTCGATTATTATCATGTTTTGCTAGTTCCAGTATTAAATGAGTATAGATGACATGTTTAAAGAAGACTTCAAAATAGCTGAGTTATTTTTATTAATTATAAATTATCTTATTTTATTTATTTTCTTTTCTTAAGGTATTAGCATCTCAAAAGCGATTGGAAAATAAATATAAGGCTGCACAACAAGCTTCTGAAGAGTGGTAATGTATGAAAGAGTTATTGTCTTAATTTGCTTGCAGTATTTGGCATTTGAATACCACTTGTGTTTTATATCTGATATAGGTATCGTAAAGCACAACTTGCTCTTCAGAAAGGTGAAGAAGATCTTGCTCGTGAAGCACTTAAGCGGCGTAAATCTTTTGCAGTAAGTCCGCATTATGTTCAAGTTTTTTTGCTTGTTTTGTCAATAGATTTGTATATTTCTACTTCAGATTTTAAAGAGGATTGTTTATTTTTTGCAGTAAATCAATCAATCAATAAAGTTGTTTACTTTTTCAATTCGTTTTTCATGCTTGCTATATGATCATTACTTTGTCGGTCGGTTGTGCTCCTGACATAGCTTAGCAATATTGGATCAACATTTGATGTTTGCATTTGCGATAATTCTCACTCCTACGAGCTTGTGTAGAACCTTGTTTGGAACTTTACACCGTATTCCTAATTTATATAACCTCAACCACTTAATAAATATGTAAGTTTGTGAAATGAAATGACCATTCTGGTTGGCACATTCGTAGGTCATGATGTGTTTTGATTAGCATAAGTCAGTTCAGACATTTTAGATAATGGCAGATCTCACAATGGTTGGCTTTTTTAAACTGCTCTGATGCATATATTAATACTTATGTCAGTATTGTTGATTGAAAATTTTGGAATTTGCTTTAGTTTGACATTTCATTGGATGATATAGGGAAAGAAATCCAACTTCTAACTAGTGCCTTATCACACATATGACATCATCGAAAAGCTCATTATATGCTTTTAATATTTTGCAGGATAATGCCAGTTCTATGAAAGCTCAACTTGATCAGCAAAAGAGTGTTGTGGACAATCTTGTCTCAAATACACGCGTAAGCTAAATCTTTTTATATTTCAGTAGAGTCAGTACCTTAAAACACTCAAATGCCATGTTTCACAATACATTGTTTTTGAAACCCTGGGCAGAATTGCTGAACTAACTTTTTTTTATGAAGCCACATGACATTGGTCTCGGTAGAATCAAGAAAGTGCAAGTTTAAAGTTCAATTTAGCTTAACATTTTGGATTAGTTTTGACACTTGATTATGTTGTGGTTGTATCATTAAAACCTTACTAGGTCATAACTATATTTTCAGTTGTCAGCATGAGTACACATTTACTTGAGCTCATCCTATATTCTCCACTAGGCCTGCCTAGTAAATTTAATCACCCCTAATAATGAACTATTGTTAGGTTTGGATTTATGTATGATGGGTTATTCTTTTGATATTCAACTTTTCCTTTTAGGTATGGTTGCAGTAGTAAGCATCATTCTGCATTGTGTAAAAAATTGGGTGTTCATTCCCAACCTGTTGAATGAGGGGAAGAATGTAATTAGTTAATTTAGTTTGCACGTCGTATTGTTAGAGTTAGTTTCTGTTTAGAAGTCAGATAATTTTCTGTTTCTTGTATTGTTACTTTAACAATTAGTCCTATCTCTTATAAATAGACCGTCTGCGAAGAAGAGGAGAATTTGTTTTTGGTTTGAGAACCAGAGAAAGTTCTAGTGGAAGGGAAAATTAGTTCTTTTGCGTAACCTTTCTTTTTAACCAATAAACTCATGGGCGAATAATCCCATTTCCCCATCGTTGAATATTCAACCATTGATAGGCTCATAACATCCTTCGATGGATTATCCTTAGAATCCATAAACCATGATTTTCAATGCTTGTATGCTTTTTCATAGTAAAATACATTAATTTACCCATTTTACTTCACCTCTATTTATCCAAAATTTTCTACCTACAGAATGCATATGATAATATTTCAGTCCACTAAATCATGATGGGAGAAGTATATTCTTTTAGAAATAAATGGAATTGGTTTAACAATTTTAGCCCACTGTTCTAATACATGATTTTTTAGCTGCAACATATTTATTATTTACCTCAGTTCTAAAATAAGTTGTTCATTTTGTAGCTTTTGGAAAGTAAAATACAGGAGGCGAGGTCGAAGAAGGATACTCTAAAAGCAAGAGCTCAATCTGCAAAGTTTGTCTTTCAAATCTTTTATCCATTGACTTCCATCTTATTCCATTATGTATTCTTTGGTTCCATTAGTAATGTCTGTTGGTTGACGTTTCTATAGGACTGCAACCAAGGTGAGTGAGATGCTGGGAAATGTCAATACAAGCAGTGCTCTTTCTGCTTTTGAAAAAATGGAAGAGAAAGGTAAGAAGAAAACTCATCGAGTCCACTCTTTATACATAAATAATACTTATAAATAACCTGATCCGCACTTGATGTTTGCCCACACGCATAACTCGTTCATTTGCATTCTGAGAAACATTTGAAGTTCTATGCTTCATGTCTTGCTTTCATTTTCTTTTTTCCATTCAATTGCCTATCAGTATATAAATGAGATTTGAAATCTGGGAACTCCTTATTAAAAGATAGGGTCGAGAGTTACCTTGAAACTGACTTTGGTCAGTTTTGTTACCGTTGCGATTTTGAAACAGTTATAGTATATATAGTCCATTTTTGCTTATATATCATTTATTCAATGAATTTTAAAAGTCAGTTTTTGCTTATATAAAAGGATTAGGCTGAACCAGATAATAGCTACATGCCTACATCCTATATTAATTAATGTAATTACTTCATAATATCAAATTTGACACATGCTTGAAAAATTACGGCCCAATTAATGTAATAAAATGGAGGCAAACATTTTCATTACTACATTCTATATGTATGGCAGAGTTGTGTAGACAAACTCTTTATGTGCTTTCATCATTCAATTTTAAATTGTTTTTCTTTCTAATTATGTTCCTGTTTTCTTAAATAGTGATGACAATGGAGTCCCAAGCTGAAGCTCTTGGCCAGTTGACAAGTGACGATCTTGAAGGGAAGGTAAGTGACTATTCACGAAACACGAGTCTCTCTATTTTTAGTATATTCTATGAATTATATTTTGAGCTTGAAATTGAAATGCTAGAAATGAAGAAAAAAACCCAGGGGCATGCTTTTCACCGTATCTCTTGTTTCCAATTTTCTGTATAGTATTGAAAACAAAAAAGAATTTCTTATGCAAAACTTTGAAATCGAAGGAAGTGAAAGCAATTAGTTATGGATCAAAGTAGCAAATTTTTTTACGTAAATATTTTCATTTGGAAAATAAATTGGTTATGGACCAGGACCACAAAAACTGCTATGACAAGTCTAATTTCCAAATGTTATTGTAAAATATATTCAATCCATATCCATAGTAAAATATATTCAATCCATATCCATAGTAAAATATATTCTTTAGGAGTCAGTTTTATCTTGGTTTACCACCAATCAATTTTGTCATGTATCTTTTGAATTTGGAATTGCAATATTAAACTTGCCCCTTTATTAGATAACTATATGTTATATTCTTGGATTTCTTTCTCCTGCGGGGCTGCGCTCATCTGTTTTTGCAGTATTGTATGATAATTGGTGAAAATTGTTGATTCTTGCAGTTTGCAATGCTTGAGAGCTCATCAGTTGATGATGACCTTGCAAATTTGAAGAAAGAATTGGCTGGTAGTTCAAAGGTATGCTTCAACCAGCAAATAGAGTGTATGTAAAAATAGGATGGGAATATTTATGTTAAATAATTTCCTTGCAAGTTGTTTCCTTTCCCTGTTTTGCACTCAGAAGTTGGCAAAACTGCTAAAGGAGTAGTCAATAATATATTTTTCCAAAAGCATTTATATCAGGCTACAGAAAAGTAAATTTGAAGATGAATAGTCATACAATACTACCTACGTGCTACCTATAATTTTAATTTCATTATTGGACTACTTGCTTTTGAGCAGAAAGGAGAGCTTCCTCCTGGAAGAAGTAGCACCACTAGCACTAAGACTGGAAATCCATTTCGAGATGCTGACATTGAGATAGAACTTGAGCAACTGAGAAAAAGATCACAGGAGTTTTAAAGTATGGAATCTTTTTCATCTCTTTTTATATTTTATTGAGACCATATTAGCTGTGTTCTGTAACTCTTGTTATTCTCACTCATAAACACCTTCAATCTGATAATGTAATCATGACCTATATATAGAGTCCTATTTTTATTTATTAAAATGAGTAGCATAAATCTGTATACATATTTTCTTAACACATTTTGCAAGAATCTTTGATATATTACATTAAGTAACGGACTCAAAACCGCAGGTTTTGGATGTAAACATCTTCAACAAGGAGCAAGGTTAGCAACACGGACATATAATGTTTATAATATGACTATGCAGACCTCGTAGCCAGGTTTATGTGGAGAATAGAGTATATTTTGCCATCCAAATAATGCTTATTTGTTGTGCATATTTTTCAAATTTTGTTACACTTGAAGTCGTAACTCTGCATGGATATTGAAAAACAGTACTCGGAGCAAGAAGGATGAGCACTGATAGCTTGAAGCTAATTCTTCTTTGTTTCAGAAAATTCAAATTATAGGAAATTTTCATTGTGGTTTATATTCACATGAGCATTCAAGTCATTTATTGAAATCTACAATAATAACTATAAACATTTTTCCTTAAATATAATTTAGATGATAATTGTACGTCGAGAAACAAGTTTAAACTTTAAACAAACCATTCTTTAATTCTAAGTCCTTCTCATCTCCTAACTCCTAAGACCACAAGAAATGTTTAACATATCTATTCTTTTTTTAATCTATTCAATAAAAGAAAAAAAAAGATAACATTAAATTATGACTTGCTAAAGGATATCATGATTTATAATATTGTTAAGATTATTATGATTATTAATTTTTTCATTTCTGATTTTTCACCACATAGTTAAGTTTTGTTAGTGCAAGGTGATGAATTTGAGGAAGAATAGAGAAAGGAATAAATGCTAAAAGCTGCCACACAATGATTGAAGGAATTGTATTGATATAAATGTAAATCTAGTACACCTATTTATACACAAATAAGAATGCCACATATGCCCTAATCAATAATATTTATAAATGACAAATACTAAATTACCCTCTAATACCATCCCGTAATTTAGTAACTTACCAGAAGTTAACAACACCAATTTCATCTCTCAAACGAAGAAATTGGTCTGTTTTTATCGCCTTCGTCAGAACATCTGTCAGCTGCTTTTGAGTGCTACAATGCAGAACTTCTAATACTCTTTTTTGCACTTGACTTCTGAGAAAGTGATACTTCGTCTCAATGTGCTTGCTTCTTCCATGTAGCACTGGATTCTTTGCAAGATTAATTGCAGACTTATTATCAATCATCAGCTTCAGAGGTTCCTCAACTTCAACCTTCAGATCATGCAGCAGATTCAGAAGTCAAACTGCTTGACACGCAGCTACAACACCTGCAATGTATTCAGCTTCACATGTTGACAAAGCCACAACCAGCTGTTTCTTGGAACTCCAAGAAATTGGACCTCCCAGAAACTTGAACAAATACCCAGAAGTACTTCTTCTGTCAACTCTATCTCCACACCAATCAGAATCAGAATAACTCAGAAGTTCTGATTTGATCTTTCCTCCAGAAGAAAATAACACTCCATATTTCAGAGTTCCTTTTATATACCTCAGAATCCTGACAGCAGCTTGGTAATGAGACCACTTTGGTTTGCTCATGTATCTGCTGACCATTCCAACTGCATAACAAATATCAGGTCTGGTATTACACAAATACCTCAGAGAACCAACCATCTATTTGAAGGTTGTAGCATCCACATCCTCTCCATCAGAATCAAAGTCCAACTTCTGATTCGTATCAGCAGGTGTGATAGCAATCTTGCAATTTGCTAGCTCAAATCTCTTTAGAAGCTCCAGTTCATACTTCTTCTGATGTAAGATGATTCCTTTCTCAGAGTATATAAGTTCCATTCCCAGAAAGAAACTCATTTTTCCAAGATTTGTCATCTCAAACGCATTCATCAGAACTTTCTTGAACTCAACTGTTTCTTGTTCAGAACTTCCTGTGAGTAATATGTCATCAACATACAAACAGACCAAAATCATATTACCTTCTGAAGTATGCTGAACATAAACACCATACTCCATCTCACACTTCTGAAACCCTTGTTCCTTGAAAAACGAATCAATCTTCAAATTCCAAGCTCTGGGCGCTTGCTTCAGTCCATACAGAGCTTTATTTAACCTGTATACCATCCCTTCCCGATTCTTTTTCATAAATCCAGGAGGTTGTGACACATAAACTTCTTCTTGTAATGGACCGTTCAGAAATGCAGACTTCACATCCAGATGTATTAAAGGCCAGTTTCTGTTTGCAGCTAAAGCAATCACCAGTTTGATTGTTTCGTGTCTAGCTACAGGCGCAAACACCTCAAAGTAATCTAGTCTAGGTTTCTGAAGAAAACCTCTGGCCACTAGTCTCGCTTTGTGTTTGCCAACTAATCCATCTGGCTTTAGCTTCTGCTTGAAAACCCATCTGACGCTGATGGCTTTCTTGCCTTTTGGAAGTTCTGTCAGCTTCCAAGTCTTGTTTCTTTCAATAGCCTCAAGTTCTTCTTTCATGGCATTCAGCCATACTTTCTTCTTGAGTGCTTCTTCAATACCCACTGGTTCAGAATCTACTAGCATGGCACACTGAACGATTTCTCCTTCAGAGTCTACTTCAGTATCATGCAACATGCTAAAATCTGCAAACCTACTTGGTATTCGTCTGATTCTCTATGGCCTCTGATCTTGTTCTGAATTTTCTCCAGAACTCGGAACTGTGCTGGTTTCTGGACTTTGTCCAGAATTATTTCCTTCAGAATTACCACCTTCAGAGTTACTTCTGGAAACTTGTTCTCCAGACCCCATGTCTTCAGAGTTTTCCCTTCCAGAAGTATAATCCCCACCAGATTCTGGATCATCATCAGAATCTGGATCAGAATCTGATCCACTATCAGAATCTCCCTGAGATTCTGACTCATCTTCAGAGTCTTCATCTTCTGACTCTGACTCGTCTTCAGAACTTTCAGAAACTAATCCTGGTGTTGGCACTACACCAGAATCTGATTGAAGCTTGTTCCAATCCCATGTTTCTGACTCTTTCACAATGACGTCTCTGCTGATTTCAACTTTGTTGGTTTCTGGACAATAAAGCTTATAGGCACCTGTACTGTGGTACCCCACCAGTAACATTGTTTTGCTTCTATCATCTAGTTTTCGTCTTCTAGCCTCTGGAACGTGTTTGTAGCATACAGAACCAAACACCTTCAGATGGTTAACATTTTGCTTGTCTCCAGTCCATTTTTCTAAAGGAACAATTTCCTTTAGCTTCTTTGTTGGACACCTATTCAGAACATATACTGATGTGGCAACAACTTCTCCCCATAACATGTGAGGTAACTTCTTCTCTTTCAGCATACTTCTGGTCATATCAAGCAAAGTTCTGTTTCTTCTTTCAGCAAGACTGTTGTGCTGAGGAGTATATGGAGCAGTAACCTCATGTTCTATTCCATTCTCCTCACAGAACTTCTGGAACTCTGTAGAGTTATACTCACCTCCACCATCTGTTCTCAGAAGCTTCAGCTTCTGACCACTCTGCTTCTCAGCCTTCACCTTGAACTTCTGAAACTCAGTAAACACTTCATGCTTGAACTTGATGAGTGTTATCCATGTCATTCTTGTGAACTCATCCACAAAAGACACAAAATATTTGTTTCCTCCAAGTGAAGGTACTGGAAATGGTCCACACACATCAGAATGTACTACTTCCAGAGCATGCTTTGCTATGGGGGCTACTTCTGATGCAAATGGCAATCTGGGTTGCTTGCCTTTCATGCATATCTCACATGACTTCTGAGGCTTCACAATCTTCGAAATGCCATGTACGAGCTTCTTAGAACTTAGATGCCCTAAGCTTCTATAGTTCAAGTGCCCCAACCTCTTGTGCCACAGCTTACTGTCAGCTTCAGCGCCTTCTGCACTAAGACACTCCGCTTCAGAGGTTTCTACATTCACCTTGAATATTCTGTTGCTTCCCTGCTCAGACTTCATAATCAACTTCTGATTAGAATCATACAACGTCAAGAGATTGTCCTTCATAACCACTGAGAAACCTTTCTCAATAAGCTGACCCACACTTTTAATTCCAAGAACATACCAAACGTCTTTGATCAGAATATTTCTTCCATTCTTCACTCTGACTCTAACATTTCCCATACCTTCTGCATTAAGGTACTTATCATCAGCACATCTGATCTTTGTTCTCCTTCTGGAGTCAAAGTCTATCAGCCATTGTTTGTTTCCAGTCAAGTGGTTTGAACAACCAGTGTCCATATACCACCAATCTCCTGAACAATTTCCATCAGAATCAGAAGCCATCAATAGCACAGGTTCATCATCAGAGTCTTCTCTGGCTATATTTGCTTCTTCTGATTTCCTTCCTTTGTTTCTACAGTCTCTGGCAAAATGGCCAAACTGTTTACAGCAGTAACATTGAACCTTCTTCTTGTCATACCTTTCCTTTCCCTTCTGATATTTCTTTTCATCAGAAGTTGAGGTTTCTGACTTCTGGAATTTATCACCATGTCTATTCTGCTTCTGGTCCTTCTTGACAAAAGAAACCTTCAGAGCTTGCTCCACTTCCCTCTCAGAAGTTCTTTCAGTCAGACGCAACTCTTGCGCTTCTAGACTGCTTTGTAACTCTTCTATTCTCATGGTTTCCAGATTTTTAGAATGTTCAATAGAAACAACAATGTAATCAAACTGAGGAGTAAGTGACCTCAGAATCTTTTCTATGATTACCTATTCAGAAAATGTTTCTCCACAAGCCTTCATTTCATTAGTGATCAGAATCATTCTGGAGATGTACTCAGAAACTTTCTCACTGTTCTTCATGTTGAGATTTTCATATTGTTTTCGCAGGGACTGAAGCTTTACCTTCTTTATTGACACGTCACCACCATAACATCTGGTCAGTATATCCCATGCCCCTTTCGACGTCGTCGA